GAGGTTTTGAGTTCCTTGGGTTTGGATGACACAATTTTGTTCTCTTCTCTAAGCTCATCATTAGCTTTTTCGGCTATGTCATACTTTGCTAAGAGTGAGTCATTCATAAGTTCTATCTTCTTATTTTTAGCTCTTGTCTTTCTAATGATTTTAGTGTATTGGTTTAACAATTTGACAAGATCATTATAAGAAGGTGATTCAAATTCTTCATCACTATCACTACCATTCTCATCATCACTAGCATTATCATCACCACTACTATCATTATCATTTTTACCTTTCATTCACCCTTGGCCATGAGACATAGGTGTGTAGAGGATGATGACGGTGGTGTCGGTGGATGTAGTGAAGAACCAATTACAAGAGCGGCCACCTTCTCCTTATTTTCACTGGCATCATCGAATGTGCCGCTTGAAGATTCAATGTTCGTGAGCTAATCACCAACAATATAGACCTTGCCATTTTTCTTCTTCTTATGAAATTCCTTCTTCTTGACATCCTTCTTCTTGTATGGTTTGTTCTTCTTCTTCTCATCATCATCATCATCATTTGAGTCATCTTTCTTGCCCTTGTAATTCTTCTTGTACTTGTCTTTCTTGGGTTTGGTGCATTGATGAGCTAGATGACCAAGATTTCTACAATTGTAGCAATCCATTTCAGAGATGGGCTTCCTTCTACTACTAGTGAAAATTTTCTTTTTCTTGCTATCAAACTTGACACCATTCTTGTTTAGCTTCTTGAGCATCTTAGTGGTTCTTCTCACCATGAGAGAAAGGCTTGCGTCATCAATCTCATCATCGCTTGAGCTATCATGATCAACTTTTGCTTTGCCCCTCTTCTCTTAGCTAGCCTTGAAAGCCAAATCTTTCTTCTTGGTAGAAGAAGAGCCATCTTGAGGAGTGATATGCATGTACATCTCATATGCATTGATCTTCTCCAATATTTGAGTTGGCGTAGCGGTGAAAGATCACTTTGATGAAGCACCATCACAATATGCCCATACTTGTCAATGGGAAGGACACTCAAAATCTTTCTCACAACATCAGATGGTTGCATTTGAGTGAGTCCAAGCCCATTGACTTTCTCTACAAGAACATTCAAACATGAATACATTTTATTAGCATTTTCACTAGGAAGCATTTCAAATGAGTTAAGCTTCTTCATTACAAGGTGGTAGCGTTCCTCACGCTCACTCTTAGTTCTCTCATGGAGCACATAAATATCCGACCATAATGAATGAGCGTCTTTGTGGTTCTGCACATGGTTAAAGATATCCTTGCAAAGGCCTCTAAAGAGAGTGTTTCTAGCCTTTGCATTCCACTTCTCGTAGTGAACTTCATCACCGTAAAGCTTAGCGGGATCCCTAGGTGTTGAAAAACCTTGTGTGGCGGTTCTAAGCACTCCAACATCTAAAGCCTCTAGATACGCCTTCATGCGAATTTTCTAATAAGGAAAATCATCTCCCTAAAAGATGGGAGGGGGTCTATCCCCATGGGACATCTTGCTCAGGGCGGTTAAGCCTAATTTAAGGAGCACGAGTCTCCGATACCAATTGAAAGGATCAAGATGTCCAAGAGGGGTGGTGAATTAGGCTAATTCTAAATTTCTTGCAATAATTAAGTCCTACACTTAGCTCATTTCACCCCCTTGTGCCTAGAAGTATTTCTATTATTCTATCGCACAAGAGTTTTGCACCCTAGGTTTCAATCCTACTCTAGCATGGCAATTCTAGGAATATAGAGACATGAATTGAATTGCTCAAATGTAAATGCTAAAAGTAAAGAGAGGAAGATGAATGTGTCGATGTTTTTCCGAGGTATCGGAGAGTTGTCACTCCCCACTAGTCCTCGTTAGAGCACCCATGCAAGGGTGTAGCTCCCCCTTGATCCACGCAAGGATCAAGTGCTCTCTACGAGCTAGTTCTTTGACACTCCATCGCGGTGAATCGCCCACAACCGCTCACACCATGACTTGGGCCATCCACAAGCTCCGTCGGATGATCACCAAGTTCCCAATCACCACCAAGCCGTCTAGGTGATGGCGATCACCAAGAGTAACAAGCACAAGCTCTCACTTGACCAAGACAAACCTAATGAGAAGGGTGGATGCACACTTGCTACTCTATATACACTAATGAGGTCCTTAATATTAGATTATCAAATCTCAATCATCCCACTAGCCTCTTACTCCCCCTTACACGAAAAAGGTGTTTCTCAGCTGAACATATAGGCAAAAGAGCTAAGTTGGACGAGTAGGAGAGGTATTTATACTCCCCACTTCAAAACATACTTGTTGGGGGTCCAACTCAGCATATTTCGGGGTGATCGGACGCTTAGGTCAAAGTGACCGGACACGTTCGGTCAGTGGCCAACGGCTACATGACGCCAGCCCAGTTATCAGAGATTGGACTCTGACTAGCGTCCAGTCGCCACCAATCAGACGCGTCCGGTCAAAAATTTTCTTCTCTGGATGTTTACTGTTGTTGATCGGACGCTACCTCTAGTGCATCAGGTCACAACGTCCTCAGCGTCCGGTCAAAAAGCAAACCCTAGCAACGCGAGCTAATACTGACCGGACGCGGCATCTGTGAGTCCGGTCCAGCATCCGGTCGATGAACACACCCTAGTTTCGCGAGCTAACACTGACCCGACATAGCACCTGTGCGTCTGGTCCAGCGTCCGGTCATCATCCAAGTCTCCATTCACCTCAAATTTTACCAACTTTGAAAACGACATCGACTTCAACTGATTTATGGGCTATCCTTGAGCTATATAGTGCTAAATTTGATAAGTGTGCATCACGTCTAAACCATTAGACTTATCTAGGTCAAGCTATTGGTTTATACCCCTCTTAATAGTATGGCCGAAGAAAAAGAAACAAAGTCATAAATTACTCTAAGTGTCTCTCCAACGCCAAACGACATTTACAACTAGTCCGTCCTTAACCTTGTCGTCCATCCTTTGAAAACCGAAGCAATCTCCATCGACAGGGGCATGAAAACCATAATTGCCCAATCAATCACCATAACCATGACCTAACTTAAGTTGTCTTTGTAAAACACACATTAGTCATAGTAATCTTATGTCGTCATTTATCATTGAAATCCAATTAGGAGTCTAGATGCTTTCATATTTATTTAGAGATACAAATATTACTGACATTTTCTATAAATCTAGTTGACCAGCACGACTCACGTAGCGATACTGTTTATGAGACAGAGAAAATAGTTATAATATTGTAAAGATAAATACTGTGATACAAATCAGCGGTGTATAAAAACAAAAGATTACAATGAATTGTCACCTTTTATGATGTGTACTGAGAATTCATCTGTAATCTTTTGAGATTCGTCTGTCATTGCTGCGTCATCTTTTCAATGAACATGGAAGTGTTATCAGACATGAAAATATGTTTTTTTAATATTGATGTGTCATCTGTGATGCAATTCGTCTGCCATTGCTTAAATCTAATTTTGAGAGTTGATTTCTAGAACTACCGTACCGGTAGTAGGGTATCACTTTTACAATCGCTTTCTTACTCGCATTTCAAAATCCAGGAGTGAAGATGGGGTATGGACCTGGTTGCGATGCTCATTTATTTGTGTAGTAGTGCCGCGTCAATTGTAAAAGAATCTGTGTGCTTCCACGTCGTGTGACAAAAAAACAATATTACTCTAACTTGAAAAATTAGCATTGATTTTCAAATATTCAAACAAGATGCATTGATGGATGAATCTGTTTCTCGGATTCTACACCTATCTTCGTTTCCTGCATAACATGCATCCTGCTATCAGGTGAGGATATTCCTGTGCTATGTCCGGAATGCATTGCATTTCACCACCATGCCCGGCCTTCTATCGTTGATACCTTCTGTAATGAACTCATTTCGTTACGCCGTGGTCCATATCAGTTGCTAAAATAACTCCTCCAGCTTGGAGACATGGCAGCATATTGCGTTCAGTCTATTGTAGTTGGAATAATGTTGGTACCAGCAGAGTGCATCAATTGTAAAAGCATATTGCGTTCAGTCTATTGTAGTTGGAATAATCAGTCTATTGTAGTTGGAATAATGTTGGTACCAGCAGAGTGCGTCAATTGTAAAAGCGTTCAGTCTATTGTAGTTGGAATAATCAGTCTATTGTAGTTGGAATAATGTTGGTACCAGCAGAGTGCGTCAATTGTAAAAGCATATTGCATTCAGTCTATTGTAGTTGGAATAATGTTGGTACCAGCAGAGTGCGTTCAGTTATGCAACCCTCACTCTGTCAACATTGTCACGTTCGCTTGGCTAATAAGTCATAGCTGATTTGTTGTGAGAAAAAAATATGGTTTGTTGGCTAAAAAAAACATGACTTATAAACCAAACAAATAGGACGATGCTTAATGCATGCATGACTCCAATACTTCAATAATTTGCCACATTAATGGCTACACGGAGTCAAGCGGAATGCAATTTCTACACAATCTAAAGTCTTGTCCATAGTAAGCTTCAATGGATTCTTTCCGGCGCGAGCTGGCACAACCACCTCTCTGTACCAAGCACGAACTCCCCTACAAAATTTAGATCGCAGTTTCCGGCGCCGCGAAAAAGTCAGAAGTCCACGGGGGCCACGGGCCTCGGCCACCGAAGTCGTGCTCGCAGCAAAGCCGTTGCCCATCCCCTCGCGAAGTCAACCATCCGCCCATGTGAATATATATGTGATCCAATCCACTGCCACTACAATAAACAGCCACTGACATGCCGGCCCACAAATGACGTGGCAAGCGGCTGTGAGCATGCATGGTCCACTTGCCAATGACTCGTCCTGGTATGTTTTCTCGTACACGCCAGCCGACGTCGTCGACGACTTGCAACGGCTACGGCGTTGGGCCGGATAGTTGTGCTGACACGGCTAATCATAGCGGTGTTTACTGTCTAGTGTCAAGACTCAGAGCCACCGTGTGTATATCATGCTCTGGTCGCCGCTTGCATGTGCAATGCAGCAATCCACGCCGCGAACAATGGCACCGGCAGTGTCCTCGTCGGGGCTGCTGCTTCTCTGCCTCGCCGCCGTCGCGTCCGTCGCCGGCGTCCTCCAAGCTCGCGCACAGCCTGACAGCATTGGTTTCATCAGCATAGACTGTGGCCTGTCCGGGACGGCGAGCTACGTGGACGACACCACCAAGCTGTCGTACGTCCCGGACGCCGGCTTCATCGACGGCGACGCCGGGTCCAACCACAACATCTCGGCCGAGTACATGACGCCGATGCTCTCGAAGCGCTACCACAACGTGCGCAGCTTCGCCGCCGGCGGCGGCGCGCGCAACTGCTACACGCTCCGCTCCATCGTGGCGGGGCTCAAGTACCTCCTCCGCGCCACCTTCAAGTACGGCAACTACGACGGGCTGAGCCGGCCGCCCGTCTTCGACCTCCACGTCGGCGTCAACTACTGGACGACGGTGAACATCACGGACGCCGACGCGGCCGTGATCGTCGAGGCCATCGTCCTCGTGCCGGACAGCTCCTTGCAGGTGTGCCTAGTCGACACCGGCTCCGGGGCGCCCTTCATCTCCGGGCTGGACCTTCGGCCGCTCAAGAGCACGCTCTACCCGCAGGCCAACGCGACGCAGGGCCTGGTCCTCGTCGCCAGGCTGAACTTCGGGTCCACCGACGACACGGCGCTCGTCAGGTACCCCGATGACCCACACGACAGGATCTGGATACCTTGGGTCGACACGGCCACCTGGAACTCCGTGTCGACGGCGCAGAGGGTGCAGAACATCGACAACGACATGTTCGAGGCGCCGTCGAAGGTGATGCAGACGGCGGTCGCGCCGCGCAACGGGTCGAGGAGCATCGAGTTCAACTGGGACTCGGAGCCGGGGCCCAAGGACCCGACGCCCGGGTACATCGGCATCATGCACTTCTCCGAGCTGCAGCTCCTGCCCGCCGGCGCCGTGCGCCAGTTCTACATCAACCTCAACGGCAAGCCGTGGTACCCCAAGGCCTTCACGCCGGAGTACCTCTACAGCGACGCCGTCTTCAACACCAATCCCTACAGGGGGATCGCCCGGTACAACATCTCCATCAACGCCACCGCCAACTCCACGCTGCCGCCGATCATCAACGCCATCGAGGTGTTCTCCGTCATCTCCACCACCAACGTTGCCACGGACTCCCAGGACGGTACGTACGTACGACTGTACGAGTGGACAGACATATCTATAGACAAGGACAGCAGATTAGTACACATTGACAGTGTTGCTGAAAGCTTACTTTCGTGGAATTGTGACAGTATCTGCCATCACGGCGATCAAGGCCAAGTATCATGTGCAGAAGAACTGGATGGGTGACCCGTGCGTTCCCAAGACTCTTGCGTGGGATGGGTTGACGTGCAGCTATGCCATTTCAAGCCCTCCAAGAATCACCGGCTTGTAAGCACTGACGAGTACTCACTACTCAGATTTGTACAAGTGCTAACTGTGTTTAAACTGAGCATCCTATTCGTGGAAGATAAAAGAAAAAAAAATCCTGACCAACCTAGAAGGAATTAGTAGCACCTAAATTCGAATCAAAGAGAATTTATGTTAGTAACAAAATTGGAAAGAGAAAGAAAAGCGACCTTATTAACAGTGTTTAAACTGAGCCACCATACCATGTGTTCTGCAGGAACCTATCCTTCAGCGGTCTTAGCGGCGACATATCATCGTCTTTCGCAAACCTGAAAGCCGTCCAAAACGTGTAAGTATCGAGCTCTTTGATCTTTTCTTTTAATCTTGCATTGGATATTTAATAAGGGTGAGCAGGTGACATATCTTTCCACGTTCTTGCAGGGATCTGTCACAGAACAGCTTGACAGGCTCAATTCCTGACTCCCTTTCGCAACTATCTTCACTCACAGTTCTGTAAGTCTGCGAACTTGTGAATTCTTTACCGATCCTTGGTATGTTTCAAAGATTTGAGTCGCATGAACATTATCTTTGGTATGTTTCAGAGATTTGACCAGCAACCAGCTCAATGGAACAATTCCCTCTGGACTTCTCAAAAGGATTCAAGATGGTTCCCTAAGTTTAAGGTCGCTTCCTTGTTCCTCCAATACATCGTTTTAACATCCATGAAATTTACTGCTTGACAATTCGTGCTTTGGTTTTATAAATCCTTTTGCCATCTATGTATAGATACGGAAATAATCCAAGCCTTTGCTCCAATGGCAACTCGTGTCAGACGACGAAAGGGAAGAGCAAGCTAGCCATCTACATTGTCGTTCCTGTAGTTCTGGTGGTTGCGGTATTAGTAGGAGTAGTGGTACTGCTACTCTGCTTCATCCAGAAACAAAAAAAGCGAGGTGACACATCACTACATCATCTGTACCCTGCACGCTCTGGCAATTTCCCCCATCCTGAACACGAAACCGATGTTTACCGTGTCACTGCAACTCAGGGCCAGCGAAGAACGCCGTGAAGCCTCAGAACGAGACGCCACTGAGCCCTGCGCCAGCAGGTGACGCGTATTCGCAGAGCTCGCTGCAGCTTGAGAACCGCCGGTTCACGTACAAGGAGCTGGAGATGATCACGAGCAACTTCCAGCGCGTCCTCGGCCGGGGAGGCTTCGGCTCCGTCTACGATGGCTTCTTGGAGGATGGCACGCAGGTGGCTGTCAAGCTGCGGTCTGATTCTTCCAATCAGGGCGTCAAGGAGTTCCTCGCAGAGGTAGGGTTTCGTTGTTCAGATGGGGATGGAGTTCATGTTTCCAGCTCCAGGTAGAGATTTGCATCAGGAAACTAGATTTGCACCGAAATTTGACTTGTCATGATTGCTGCTATATTCAGGCTCAGACCTTGACACGGATTCATCACAAGAATCTCGTGTCTATGATCGGTTACTGCAAGGATGGGGACTACATGGCACTTGTCTACGAGTACATGTCAGAAGGCACCCTACAAGAGCACATTGCAGGTACGCAAAGTTGTTTAGTAGTTGAGCACTGCACTTGCAAGGTACATGTAAGACCTGTAAGGCACAGTTGATCTGAATTTCTCCTCCTGTCGATCCATCTGCAGGAAATGGCCGCAGCAGAGGATTCTTGAGCTGGAGACAGAGGCTCAGAATCGCTGTGGAGTCAGCGCAAGGTACCACCCATTTATGAATTTCATTTTTGCTGTCAATTGTCTATCAAAGTTTTGATTATGCTAGGGTAATAAAGAACACCGATGTGCACGCAGGGCTGGAGTATCTACACAAAGGGTGCAACCCGTCCCTCATTCACAGGGATGTGAAGGCTGCCAACATCCTACTCAACGCCAGGCTAGAAGCCAAGATCGCCGATTTTGGCCTGACCAAGGCTTTCAACCGCGACAACGACACTCACGTGTCCACGAACACGCTAGTTGGCACACCCGGATACGTTGATCCAGAGTACGCCAACCATGCACTCTGCTCTTCATAAAACCCCTTCCCTTCTCGTTTTTCTTTCCTAACACTGACAATGCGTGCAGGTACCACGCAACGATGCAGCCGACGACCAAGAGTGACGTGTACAGCTTCGGCGTCGTGCTGCTGGAGCTGATCACGGGGCGGCCGGCCATCCTGCGCGACCCGGAGCCGACGAGCGTCATCCAGTGGGCGCGGCAGCGCCTGGCGCGGGGCAACATCGAGGGCGTCGTGGACCCGCGCATGCGCGGCGACCACGACGTCAACGGCGTGTGGAAGGCCGCCGACGTCGCGCTCAAGTGCACCGCGCAGGCCTCGGCGCAGCGGCCCACCATGACCGACGTCGTGGCGCAGCTCCAGGAGTGCCTCCAGCTCGAGGAGGCTCGTGCCGCTGGTGACGTGAACGGCGGCGGCAGCAGCAGCAGCGGCCCGTACTCCGGTTACAATGCGTACGGCGCCGGTGAGGGCCAGTCCACTGACGTGAGCCAGAGCAGCACCGGGTTTGAGGTGGAGCACAATTTCGGGAGGGTGCCGACAATGCCCACGGGCCCTGCCGCACGGTAGGCTTCGTTGCCCGTCTGGTCGTCCAAGCCGCTGTCTTGTACTTAGCGAAATCATCGCGAGCTTTTTAAGGACTTCGTCAAGTAAGCGCGTGTATACAAATGTTCAGACATTTGAAGTTTGTTCAGTTCCCTGATTTTTTTTTCTCGGCATCGATGTACAATGTAATATTTTGTGTATTCTTTCCGCAGTAATTAGGACACCCCGATGCTATTCTTCGACCGGTGTATGTGTATATGTTCCATTATTTGCAGATATTTGCAGCTTTGAATGTAATGGGCCAATAACAATCGATCGAGAGTTGATAGCACTGGCCAACTTTGGATTGGTTGGATGTCCTAGCTTTACCCATGAACTTTTAATTTTAAATAATAGCCATACATGTTGACGGACTAGTTTGGTGACAACTTATTAGATGCATAGATAGTTAGATTTCCTTGATCTTTAAAATATAATACTCTCATAATCTAGCCTTTTCATCCTATTCTTATTTTTAGCTGATTATTGATTTATTGCAACCCTTTGATGAAGATCTAAACAGACCCTTTGTCTCTGCAAAGAGCTCTTCTAATTCGGAATCAGCCAAAGCGCAGGTTCTAAAGATATTGGGCCGACTGGTCCGACTCATTGATCCTGTGGGCTGTGGGATTAGGCTAGCGGCCGAAGCACCCATGGGCCATGACCCACCTCAGCCCAGAATGCGAGGACGCCGCATCCCCACCAATCTGCTGCTGGTACAGCGGCACCCACGCGGGTTCCTTTTCCTTCCTTCGGTTCTTCCTCCTCCCGAGAGTGGGCGGCGGCCGTATGTGCCCATTGGCCATATGCCAAGTCAAGTGGTCCTGTAGTGAGTTTTCAGTGAACGTTGCCGGCGTTTGAGACCCGGCGGCGGCGTATCCACAGGCCACTGCTCATACCCTGCTACGCGCCACTCCTATGTTATTTCTGATCAAATGGAGCAAGCCTCCAATGGCGCACTGCCGGCGCATCCACCGCTTCCTCTCGTCTGCCGCCGCCCGAGCCGCAGCGCCAATCCGTGCCCGGCACGTGCCCCGGTCGCCCGGCACGTCCGCGCAAAGCGCCCGCATACGGGAGCTAGGCCGCCTCGGCCGCTTGCGCGAGGCCAGGGAGGTGTTCGACGCGATGCCCTTCCGCGACATCATCGCCTGGAACTCCATGATCTTCGCCTACTGCAACAACGGGATGCCTGACGCCGCGAGGTCGCTCGCCGAGGCGATCTCCGGCGGGAACCTGCGCACGGGCACCATCCTGCTGTCGGGCTACGCGCGCGCTGGGCGCGTGTGTGACGCCCGAAGGGTGTTCGATGAAATGGGCGTGCGGAACACCGTGGCGTGGAATGCCATGGTTACCTGCTACGTCCAGAACGGGGACATCACCCTCGCGCGCAGGCTGCTCGATGCAATGCCGAGCAGGGATGTCTTGTCATGGAACACGATGCTTACTGGGTACTGCCATAGCCAACTGATGGAGGAGGCAAGGACTCTGTTTGAACGAATGCCAGAACGCAACTTGGTTTCTTGGACAGTGATGATTTCTGGGTATGTTCTGATTGAGCAGCATGGCAGGGCTTGGGACATGTTTCGCACAATGCTATATGAAGGAATGACACCAGAGCAACCAAACCTTGTTTCTGTGCTTTCAGCTGTACGTCATCTTGGTAAACCTGGCATTCTAGAGAGTATCCACGGTCTTGTGCATAAGACTGGCTTTGAGAGGGATGTTGTCGTTGGCACTGCCATACTTAATGTTTACACTAAGGATGTCAATATGCTTGACACTGCAGTAAAATTCTTTGAAGGCATGGTAGTTAGGAATGAGTACACATGGTCAACCATGATCGCTGCACTATCTCGGGCTGGACGAATAGATGATGCTTTTGCTGTTTACAAGAGAGATTCTCTAAAGTCTGTTGCTAGTCGGACTGCAATGCTCACAGGCCTTGCTCGATATGGAAGGATTAATGATGCAAAGATTTTATTTGACCAGATTCCTGAACCTAATGTTGTATCCTGGAATGCCATTATTACTGGGTACATGCAGAATGAAATGGTTGATGAAGCTGAAGAGCTTTTTAACAGGATGCCCTTTAGAAACACAATATCTTGGGCTGGGATGATTGCAGGGTATGCGCATAATGGGAGGAGTGAACAAGCTTTGGTTTCACTCCAAGCTCTCCATAGGAACGGAGTGTTACCTAGCCTGTCTAGTTTGACTAGTAGCTTCTTTGCTTGTTCAAACATTGAAGCTCTTGAGACAGGGAAGCAAGTTCATTCACTTGCAGTAAAGGTCGGCTGTCAGTTTAATAGCTATGTATGTAATGCACTGATTACTCTGTACGCTAAGTGCAAAAACATAGAGCTTGTGAGACAAATCTTTGATCGGATGACAGTTAAAGATACAGTGTCTTATAACTCTTTTATGACCGCACTTGTACAGAATAATCTGTTTGATGAAGCAAGAGATGTATTTGACAATATGCCGAGTCGAGATGTTGTCTCTTGGACTACGATGATATCTGCATATGCACAAGCTGACCAGGGGAATGAGGCAGTAGAGATTTTCAGAAGTATGCTGCATGAGCGTGAGTTACCCAATCCACCTATATTAACGATACTTCTTGGTCTTGGTGGAAATCTTGGTGCTCCCAAACTTGGACAGCAAATTCACACAATCGCTGTTAAACTTGGATTGGATTCAGGACTCGTAGTGGCTAATGCTCTTGTCTCTATGTATTTCAAGTGTGGTTCTGCAGATTCCCTTAAGGTTTTTGATTCAATGGAGGAACGAGACATTTTTACATGGAATACCGTCATTACAGGCTATGCTCAACATGGCCTTGGAAGAGAATCCATCAGGATGTATCAACTAATGGTATCTTCAGGAGTGTTGCCTAACGAAGTCACTTTCGTGGGGCTTTTACATGCATGTAGCCATTCTGGTTTGGTAGATGAAGGGCGCCAGTTCTTCAAGTCTATGAGCAGTGATTATGGACTAACTCCTCTACTGGAGCACTATGCTTGCATGGTTGACCTACTTGGGCGAGCTGGTGATGTGCAAGGAGCTGAACAGTTTATTTATGATATGCCTATTGAGCCAGATTCAGTGATCTGGAGTGCGCTTCTTGGGGCATGCAAGATTCACAAGAGTGTAGAAATTGGTAGGAGAGCAGCTGAGAAACTTTTCTCTATCGAGCCATCCAATGCTGGGAATTATGTCACGTTGTCAAATATATACTCCTCCCAAGGGATGTGGGACGAAGTTGCGAAGGTACGAAAACTTATGAAAGAACAAGGTGTGAACAAGGATCCTGGTTGTAGCTGGATGCAAATAAAGAACAAAATGCACTCATTTGTCACTGGAGATGAGGAACATGAGCAAATTCAAGATATATATGCTACCCTTCGGGAGTTATACACTTTGCTAAAGGCCACAGGGTATGTACCTGACACGGACTTTGTTCTCCATGACATAGATGAAGAGCAGAAGGAGAGCTCGCTTCTGTACCACAGCGAGAAGCTTGCTGTTGCTTATGGCCTTCTTGTTACACCCAAGGGCATGCCCATACAGATAATGAAGAATCTTAGAATATGTGGTGACTGTCACACTTTCATCAAATTTGTATCCTCTGTCACCAAGAGACAAATTGACGTCAGGGATGGGAATCGATTCCATCATTTCAGGAATGGAAGTTGTTCATGTGGTGATTTTTGGTGATAAATTATCCGTGCACCAGCAGGTCCTCTTCATGCTATCCCCTCAAACACAGGTTGCCTAATTTCTTCGCCCATGTTTTCATTTCCCTTTTGTTTCGATCTCTGTCTAAATCTTTTTCCATGTTATCCCAATTGATCAAATAGGATTTTGTTATGTGATATTCTCAATGGGTTACACAAAAGTTGGCATAAAGATGGGTTTGCACACTAGAAAAATAACGCCTGTCCACATGAAGTTTGAATTGAATGCAGAGCAAAGCAAGATTTCTTATATAATGTGTTTCTTAGCGTTGTTGATGTTTTCCCCTGGATTGCATTTTGATAGTCTGGTAGTGTAGTTAATCATGTATTCCTGTTATCATATGACTGAGTGGTGTTTTGCACATTTCAGATCAAGGCTGACTGTCTGAGTGCAGGGAGAGGCAATACCTTGCCTCTTGGATGTTCATCTTATACTAAGGAGGTCATCCATAGGTTAGTCATTTCATCATCACCAAATCATTATAAAAATAATTGATTGATTATGATATCGTTGTGTTCTCTCTACTGAATGTTTATGCTTTGGTGTTCTAAGTACTGCTGTAATCTGCACAGATATGCTATGCAGTTCTGGACCATTGATGTTAAGTCTTGCCTCACCAGCGTCTGCTTCTGATGGTGTGGCTGCCTGAGGAGCATCTACCGATTCTGCCTGAACTTGAAGTGTAAAGCCGTCCACCAGGACAGAGCTGAAAACTTGAAATGGCAAGACCACAACCCTGAAGTTGAATTGTTGGTAAGAAACTCAGATAGGTGGATAAATGTTGTGAGCCACGTAGCTAAGAGTTTAAAGACAGATGTTAGGTGTTGGAAATGGAAAGGCGATGTGGCTCCCTTTGATGGGATAAGTCTCGGTCTTTGTAGGGCTGTGCTGGTCACATGTTCCTTGTGGCTGCATGGTCTGTTTTTAGGACAACATCTTAGACTAGCGGACAGCATCTTAGCATCTAGGACAGCATCTTAGACTAGCATCTTGGCATATGCTTGGCTGGCTAGCAGCCTATAAATATGTAACCCCAACCCCTCAGGTTGGCATGGCATTTGTGTGAGAAATAAACCAAAAAATTGTCACAACTCCTAGTGTCATCCTCTCTCGATGAGAGTAAGAATTCTGCTACTAACAACTGGTATCAGAGCCGTATTATCCTATAGCCTGAGCATCTCTTGCTCATCTTCTTTCCCACCCTCGCAACAGCCCTAGCTAGGAGCAGCAGCAGCTCCGACCGCTCCTGCTCACTCCTCTCCCTCTGCACAGACGAGCATCGTCTGAAGCAGCCCTCTCCCCACGCAGCAGCCTCCCGGTAGCGCATCATGTCCGCAGGGCAGTCTTAGCGCTCGGTCGCCTCGAGCACGCGGCGTCGGCAGGAGGCCGAACTTGCCGCGGCAGAGGAACGCGAGCGAGCGGCGGCAGAGACCGCTGCGACGGCGGCAAGGGCGTCGAGGCAGCAGGTGGGCTGGTGGAGCTGGCAAAGGCAGAGCGGAGGCGGAAGCAGCAATGGGCGGTGGCGGAAGAGAGGTCGAGGCCTCATGCAAGCAAAGATCAGCGCCGACGCGACCTCGAGCTGTTGGGGAGAGAGGCGGGACGAGCCTTGCGGGCGGCGCAGTGGGCAGCCGCGCACGCCCACGAGCGCGGTGGCAGCCAGAACGGCGGCGAGACGCGCCGCCGGCGCGCTCTCGAGGCGGCGCGCGGCGGCGCGCTCCTGGAGGAGGCGCACACGGCGACGGTGGCGGACGGGTCGATGGAGAGCGCGGCCTTCACAGGCAGCGTGGCTCTCTCTCCCCGGATCGGTACCGTGGTTACCATGGGCTCTAGGCTGTCGTCGGGGACGTCGGCCCCGGAGGTGGGTGGCCTACCCTCACCAAGACCAACTACGTCGAGTGGGCCGCGGTGATGAGGGTAAAGCTCGGTGCGGCACATGTGGGAGGCGGTCCGATCTGGCGCGACGCGACTCGACCTAGATCGACGGGCGCTGGATGCCCTCATCGCTGCAGATCCGCCCGAGATGCGCTTCGCTTACCAACAAACGGATCGCCAAGGAGGCTTGGGGCGCCATCGCTGCATGCGCGCGCGCCGGCGACCGCGCGCCATAAGTCCACACCGTAGGCACTTCACAAGGAGTGGGAGAACTCGCCTTCAAGCCGGTGAGGACGTTGATGACTTTGCTCTCCGTCTCAACACTCATGCTGCGTAAGATGGTGCAGTTCGGCGATGACACCTACGGCGAGGAGAGAGCTATCGAAAAGCTCTTCCGTTGCGTCCCTGAGAAGTACAAGTAGATGGCTCGCTCGATCGAGTCTCTGCTGGATCTCTCCACGATGTCGATCGAGGAGGCGATAGGTCGCCTCAAGGTCGTCAACAGCGATGAGCCACAGTCTCTCTCGGGCCCAAAGACCATCGGCGGAAGCTCCTCACTCGGGAGCAGTGGCTTGCCAGCCAAGGTGACCGGAAGAAGGGGGAGCCTTCTTCCGCGACATGCGGCCGCAAGCGTGGCAAGCCATGCAAGGCGCGCAGAGACGTCCAGGCCGGGGCGCGAGGACGTGCCGAGGGTGATGCCCGCGGAGGCACCTGGCGGCGCGCCGCCGGCAGCACAAAGCCGCAAGACGAGACGATGCCCACCAGAATCTGCGACCGGCAGCCATTGGGCCAAGGATCGACGACACCCACGACGCGGCCAGCCCACGCCCACGTCGCCAAAGCGAGGAGCCGGCTCGTTTCATGGCACATGCAAGCATCGAGCTACCTCCGGCACCGCGCCGCGCGCGCCCTCCTCCACCTTGACGAGCCAAAAGCACACGCCCTCCTTGGCGACGGCTCCAGCAACTACAAGACTGACGGGTGGTGCCTCGACACCGGCGCCACCCATCACATGACCGGTCGATGGGAGTTCTTCACCGAGCTTGACTCTAGCGTCCGAGGCTCCATCAAGTTTGGGGATGCCTCCGGCGTGGAGATCAAGGGCGTTGGCTCCGTCATCTTCACCGCCGTGTCTGGTGAGCACAGGCTGCTCATCGGAGTCTACTACATCCCCGCGTTGAGGAACTCCATCATCAGCTTGGGACAGCTGGATGAGAACGGTTCGCGCGTGGTGGTTGAGGATGGAGTCATGAGGATTTGGGATCGCCGTCGTCGCTTTCTTACCAAGGTATCCAGAAGCGCAAATCGACTCTACGTCCTTAACGTGCAGGTGGCACAACCCCTCTGTCTCGCTGCTCGTCGGGACGACGAGGCGTGGCAGTGGCACGAGCGTTTCGGGCACCTTCACTTTGAGGCCCTGAAGCGACTCAGTGCCACGGAGATGGTGCGAGGCCTGCCGTGCCTTGACCATGTGGAGCAGCTCTATGACGTCTACGTGTTGACGAAGCAGAGGCGACTCCCCTTTCCCCAGCGGACGAGCTTTCGAGCCAAGGAGAGGCTCGAGCTTGTGCACGGGGACTTGTGTGGCCCGGTGACACCGGCCACACCGGGAGGATGACGCTACTTCCTGCTGCTCGTCGATGACCTCTGTCGCTACATGTGGGTGATGGTCCTCGGCAGCAAGGGAGAGGCTACGGACGCCATCAGGTGCTCGCAGGCTGCTACGGAGGTGGAGTGCGGCCGCAAGCTGCGCGTGCTGCGCACCGACAACGGCGGCAAATTCACGGCGGCTGAATTCGCGTCGTACTGCGCTGATGAGGGCATTCAACGCCACTACTCCGCGTCGTACAGTCCACAGTAGAACGGCGTCGTCGAGCGGCGCAACCAGACGGTTGTGGGGATGGCTCGGGCCCTTCTCAAGCAGAGGGGGATGCCGACTGTCTTCTGGGGAGAGGCGGTGGTGTCGGCTGTCTATATCCTCAACCGCTCGCCTACCAAGGCGCTCGACGGCAGGACACTATATGAGCCTTGGCATGGGCACAAGCCGGCGGTCTCCCACTTGTGGGTCTTCGGCTGCCTCGCGTTCTCCAAGGAGCTTGGCCACATCAGCAAGCTCGACGACAGGAGCACTCCGTGAGTGTTCATCGGCTACGCGGAGGGCTTGAAGGCCTACCGCATCCTCGACCTGAAGACACAGCGTGTGCGCACGGTGCGCGACGTGGTGTTCGACGAAGGGCGAGGATGGGCATGGGACAAGGCGGTGGACGACGGATCGGCTTCGACGTACGACGACTTCACTGTCGAGTACGTCCACTTCGAGGGAGCTGGGGGAGTAGGCAGCTCTTCTTCGGTGAGCGCGTCTACCCTAGTCCCCGAGCCTCCACCGACCCCGGCGCCTGCTACTCCGACAGCACCACGCTTTCCAGCCAGGACCTCGGCTGCGATGAGTCCTTCGCCGGCTCCACCACAGCTGGCAACGCCACGCACTCCAGCACCGACAGGCACCTCTTCGGGCACGTCCACTCCAACACCAGCTCATGTCGAGCATAGCCCGGTTGAGCTCGCTACTCCGCTCTCTCACGACGAGGAGCGCATCGACACGTACCACGACGGCGAGCCGTTGCGGTACCGTACGATGGAGAACCTTCTCGACGACCAGTCGGTGCTGGGACTGGTGCCTCACGACCTAGAGGACCTGGAGGCGCAGTTGCATCTTGCATGTGACGACGGCGAGCCTCGATCGTTCGCAGAGGCCGAGAGACACGCGGCATGGCGCGCCGCGATGCAGTTGGAGATGGATGCGGTTGAGAAGAACCGCACCTGGGAGCTTGCTGACCTCCCTCGTGGTCACCGCGCGATCACCCTTAAGTGGGTGTACAAGCTGAAGGGGGATGAAGCCGGCGCCATCGTCAAGCACAAGGCTCGCTTGGTGGCACGAGGTTTCGTGCAGCAGGAGGGGGTCGACTTCGACGACGCCTTCGCTCCCGTGGCACGGATGGAGTCCGTGCGACTCCTTGCGCTAGCTGCCTAGGAGGGCTGGCGTGTTCATCACATGGACGTCAAGTCGGCGTTCCTTAACGACGACTTGAAGGAGGAGGTCTACGTGCACCAGCCGCCGGGATTTGTGATCCCCGACAAGGAGGGCAAGGTGCTCCGCCTGCGCAAGGCCCTCTATGGCTTGCGGCAGGCACCGAGGACGTGGAATGTCAAGTTGGATTCCACGCTAAAAGGGATGGGCTTCGAGCAAAGCCCGCATAAGGCGACCATCTATCGACGGGGCAGTGGAGGAAATGCTCTGTTGGTGGGTGTCTACGTCGACGACTTGGTGATCACCGGCACCGAGGATGCGAAGGTGGTGGCATTCAAGGAAGACATGAAGGCCACCTTCCAGATGAGTGACATGGGACCTCTCTCCTTCTACTTGGGAATCGAGGTGCACCAGGATGACTCCGGGATCACGCTTCGACAGACCGCCTATGCCAAGCGCGTCGTTGAGCTAGCTGGGCTCACCGACTACAACCCAGCTCTCACTCCGATGGAGGAGAGGCTGAAGCTGAGCCACGACAACACGACGGAGGAGGTGGACGCTACGCAGTACCGGCGTCTTGTGGGGAGCCTTCGCTACCTCGCCCACACACGGCCGGACTTGACAATCTCCGTCGGCTACGTTAGTCGGTTCATGCAGCGACCGACGACGGAGCACCAGCAGGCTGTGAAGAGGATCATCCGCTACGTTGCGGGGACTCTCGACCACGGTATCTACTACTCTAGGTGCCCTGGGGCGGCACACTACAGCGACAGCGACCACGCCGGCGACAGCGACACCAGCAAGAGCACGAGCGGGATCCTCTTCTTCCTCGGCAAGTGCCTCGTTAGCTGGCAGTCAGTCAAGCAGCAGGTGGTGGCCCTGTCCAGCTGCGAGGCCGAGTACATAGCGGCCTCCACCGCTTCGACTCAGGCGCTCTGGCTCGCTCGACTGCTTGGTGATCTTCTTGGCAGAGATACTAGAGCGGTGGAGCTCAGGTTGGACAGCAAGTCCGCTCTGGCCCTGGCAAAGAACCCCGTTTTCCATGAACGGAGTAAGCACATTCGGGTGAGGTACCACTTCATCCGAGGCTGTTTGGAGGACGGGAGCATCAAGGCAAGCTACATCAACACGAAGGACCAGCTTGCGGACCTGCTCACCAAGCCCCTTGGGAGGATCAAGTTCCTTGAGCTCTACTCCAGGACCGGGATGGTTCAACTGTCCCACAAGACAACGTAGAAGACTTAGGGGGAGAATGATGGGATAAGTCTCATGTGTTGGCTGGTCTTTGTGGGGCTGTGCTGGTCATATGGTCTTTATGGCTGCATGGTCTGTTTTTAGGACAGCATCTTAGACTAGAGGACATCATCTTAGCATCTATGACAGCATCTTGGCATATGCTTGGCTGGCTAGCAGCATATAAATATGTAACCCCAATCCCTCAGGTTGGCATGGCATTTGTGTGAGAAATAAACCAGAAAATTACCCCAACTCCTAGTGTCATCCTCTCTCGATAAGAGTAAGAATTCTGCTACTACCAAGAATAAGAATTCAGCGACTAACACCCTTGTTACAAACACCAAATCATGAATTGCGGAAAGCTCAAGAACCACTTTCGTAAATGGAAGAAGATTGTGGAGGAAAAAAGTGCTCAAAGTAGATGGTGCAAGATGAGTCGTGAGCTTTCCCCCTACATTCTTCTGATGTCGCATCAAGGATAAATACCAAGAATGGCATCTACCATAAGACAATCAATCGTCGGTGACAGTGCTGTTATTCTTCAGCTTAGTTTAGGCAACGTTTCAGAAGATTTCAGTGTACGACGTGGAGCGATGAACCTGAAACACAGAAGGGTACTTAGATGCTGATAATCATGCATAAGCGCATAGAGTTGCAACAGCTGCAATGACGCGTGCAGTAACAAATGGTTGGTCCAAAGCATTTGGCTCCATTCACCTTTGATCTGGTGTCTACCTCCATTTCAAAATGTTATGTTTCTCATTTCTTGCGCCTCAGTCTCCGACTAACAGTTAGGACTGACTTTGCATCCAGTTTTCAATAGTGTATTCTGACCTGAGGGCTGAGTTTTAGTACCGATCTGAATTCTACACTGTTCAGGCAGCTTTTGGTTGTCGAAGTATCAACCAGTCCTTGTTTTAGTTGTAAAAAAAAACCAGTCCTTGTTTTCTATTTCAATTCAAAGCAAGATGTGAAATCTCGCACCCACAGATCGTCGCATCTTTTTTTTTCACACAAGTTTCAGATACTCTTTCTTATGGGGAACACAAGTTTCGGATACTCGCATGTCACCCAGGTAACCTTTCGTCCTACCGAGCACCAATCACCAAATACTGCCGAGCCGCGTCGAGACGGGAGAAAGCGAAAGCGAAACCGAGAAACCACTCTGCTTCCCAGCGGAATTATAAAAACCGCAACTCGGAGCCCAACTTGGCAGCCGAACAACGGGAGCTCGACACCTGCGCGCCAGCGTACCCGCGGCCGCACGTAAAGCGACGGCGCCATCGTCCTCTGCCCGTGCCGAGCTGGTGTGCCGAGAGCCCGAACCCGTGGTCGCGTGGCGTGGGGGCGAGGAGCCCAGCGAAAAAAAGCCTGGGCAACTTGTGCAGCCACGCACGCGCGCACGGTGCACCAACGTTGTTTGTGCCCCTGCCCTCTGGGCTCCGTCCGGCTTCCGGGCGGCCGCGGCAAGTTGCAGACTTGCGGTGCTAACGACCTGGTGCGGAGCCCAAAGCGCACCCGTTGTTTTGCTGCAATCCGACGGCGCTTCGCTTTCGTGGCGCCGTGGTCCGCCTCAAAGGATAGCTTCCGATTTTGTCCGCCGTGACCGTGGTCCTCGACCAAAGCGGTGCCGATGAACCGTGCGGGGGACTAAAGATTTGTGTACAGATCCAATGAACAGAAGATACGGGACAAAAAAATCTCGTGGCTCCACGCATTGGACAGTCAGTTGCCACTTGCGAGATGACATTTCAAAGTCATTTCAAAGTACGTACTAGGGCTTATCTCTTGATCCGTCCTCCCTTTTACTCAACCCGGGGGGGATGTTTCTCGTACTCTCGGCTGCCTCGCTGATGGCGACAATGGCGAATCGGTGTCAACACCTTTCACATTTGCTGAAACTTCACCGCATGCTATCATCCAAAGATCAATCCCTGCAGGGATCGAATGGACGCACTTCGATGACTGAACATTGCAGATTAGTTGAGTTGAGCACGACCAAAGGGATACAGTAGATATATGTGCCTCACTTTCGAGTCCAGAAGGCAGCAGTACACTTACACTGTCATCATCACGAAACAGCGAAGGCTCATTCGGGGGTGTTCGGTTGGCTTGTTTTTTCTCTCACAGAATCACTGTTCACGTTCTGTCAGAATAGTATTTTTCTCTCACAACAATCAGCCGGAACAGTATTTTCAGTCCTCCCGAACAGGCCCGAATCATAGCCAACTACACTTCGTATATACATATACATATACATATACACTGGTAGTAACGATCGAACGGAAGCCATGGACAGCAGCATGTTGAGCCCATGATCTCCGGAAAAAAGGCGGGGAAACACACACGCCACGCTTACAGATTGCAGTATTAATAGTTGCACCATGTTTGGTTTATCCACAGAAGAATGATGCAGTTCATTCATGAAAATGCTAGAATTAATATTGCTTAATGAAGCTGTCACGAATGGCGAGATGAGGCGCCTCTTGACGACGCCGGCAGCGAGCGAAGGAGATGGCATCCACATCTTGGGCTCGGGCGTCGGCACTGGGCAGGCGCTGGCATGCCTACATCACCAGCTCCGACACCCACCCCAAGTCCGGCCCGTCCTCCTCCGTGACCGCAGGCAGGACCGGCGCCGACGATGCCTGGGCCTTCCTGAAGCTGAGCTCCCGCATTGCGAGCATCAGCTCCTTCATCTCGGCGTCGGCGTCTGACGACGGCTCTTCGATGGCGTCGACCCACCTCCGTTGGCCCTCCACGGGAGACACCGGCGGCGACTCCCAGAGCGGCGCCAGGGTGGACTTGGGCGAGAGCGAGAGCGAGAGCGGCGAGCACTCGTCCTTGGTCCCGGCGCCGGCGGCGCGGAGCTCGGCCGCGGTGTGCGCGAAGAAGCAGACGCGGCGGCGGCAGGCGGCGCCCGCGCGGCAGGGGCGGGTGCGGTAGCGGGACGGGTGGAGCCACAGCTCGAAGGTGCCGTGCGCGAACGGGCAGGCGAGGCCCCTCGGGCACACGTCGCCCGGGCGGCGCCGGAAGTCCGGGCACGGCTCCCCCTTGTAGGCGACGCGGCGCGGGTCCCGGCGCCGCGCGGCCTCGCCCGGGTGCGCGTGGGGGCACGCCGTCCAGTCGTGGCTCCGCGCGCGCGCGCACCGCCGCACCTTGAACTCGTACATCATGAACTCGTCGTCCGCCTCCGCGTCGCCGCCGCCCTCGCACTCGCCGCGCGCGGCGGAGAGGTACTCCCCGAGCGCGACGAGCAGCTGCGGCGGGATCTCCACGGCGGCCGGGTCGGCCCACGACACGCCCAGAGACGCCGGGTCGAGCACGAGGTACTCGTAGCTGATGGTGTGCTGCTCACGGCTCACCATGCTGTCGCTCACTGCCTCAGACCCTCACTCTGTTCAGCACTCGGCCCCCCTGGATACGGTGGTGCCGGGGAAGAAAAGAGAGGAGTGTGGTGACCGTGCCTTGTTGAGGTAACAGCCGCGGGGTGGGTGGCGCGGGGTTTTATAGGTGGCGCGCACGAGACGGACGGGGTCGACGCGCGCCCGCCGTTGGGTTGGGCTGGGGCGGCATCCGGTGCGTGGCGTGGGGGGCATGGCATGGGCGGAATTGAGGGCTCTGTTGGGCGGGTGGTTTTGGCGCGGGGCAGGGGGGGTACGCGGGGGCGCGGGGCGGCTACGTGGAGCGGCGTGGAGGCCGTGCTGCATGTTGCCCGCCACGTCGCGGCCCTCTCGCCGAAGGAAGTGGGCGGCTGCCTCTCTCTCTCTATGGAAGCAGTTTCTTTAAGCTTTTGCGGCTGATCTGTGGAGGTTTCGCTACGTCGATTCCTCCCATTTCTGGGACTCTGGGAGCCTGCCTACTCGGAGAGCTGCGCTGTACGCGGTGGTCTGCTGCGCAGCACGGGACACGCACACGTAGCCAGATGCATCACTACTATTGTCGGTTCAGCCATGCCCCTGAGGCCATGAGCCCGTGACTGAGAAGAGGCACTTGGACATTTGTTTTCTTTTATTCTACTGGTACTACCTCCATTCCCGAAATAACGCAATTCTAGCTTCATCACATTTTAGTAACTTAAATTTGACCACTAATAAATAAAAAATATCTATGTATATGATACTAAACAAATATTATCGGATTAGTTATGAAATATATTTTTATGATAAATTAATTTAAAGCCATACCTATGAATATTATTTACTAAAAATTTGATCAAACATGAACATTTTTCGTGGCATGTAATTTATAGTTGCATTCTTTTCAGAATTGAGATAGTACTCCCTCCGATCGGATAATACGTCCTCGTATGGTTCGAAAAAGGTCGTTTTAGATCGCTCTAATGCCCCTAGACCAGTTACCATCCGTGCAATTAAATGTTTTCTTGCCGCTGGCTCCAGCGCCCCAATCGTTTCAAAAGCGTGCTTGTCGCTATCTCTCTCGCCATGAAGCCCGCTTCAGCCTGACTCCGTCGAGTCGTTTTGGACTCTCGAAGGAGGTGGCTCTGGACTCCGTCGAGTCGGAGGAGATGGCGCCGACTCCGTCATGAAGCTCCCTCTTGACATGGAGATGGCGCCCTAGGACCTTGAGCAGAATCGACGACGCCTCAGAACTCGAGCCGGACTCTCTGAAAGGTCCTAATGGCTAGAGGGGGGTGATAGCCTAATAAAAATTTCTACAACAACACTTAATCAAATGGTTAGACAATTATGAAGCGAAGCCTGTTGCATCTAGCCTACTCAATAATGCAAGCCACCTACCACAATTCTAGTTTAGATAGTGTCAATTCACACAAGAGCAATGAAACTACCCTATGTTAGTGTGCTCTCTCAAAGGCTAACTAAAGAGCCACACCAACCAAGCATGCAAGCTCTCACAACTAGCTACACTAAAGAGCTTGTCAACTAGTTTCTAAAAAGTAAAAGTGAGCAAGAGAGAGTTATACCGCCGTGTAGTGGTAGGAACCAATCGATCACAATGATGAATACCAATGTAGACCAATCACCTGGGCCAAATGAGGAACACAATGATTTTTACCGAGGTTCACTTGCTTGCCGCAAGCTAGTCCTCGCGAGGAGGTTCACGCGCGATTGGCATCACTCGCCAAACCCTCAATAGGGTGCCGCAGTCACAAGATGAGGATCACACAAGCCACAAGCAATTACTAGAGTACCTTTTGGCGCTCCGCCGAAAGGTCAAGAACCCTCACAATCACCACGATCGGAGTCGGAGACAATCACCTCCTCCACTCAACGATCCTTGCTGCTGCTCCAAGCCGTCTAGGTGGCGGCAACCACCAAGAGTAACAAGAGAAATCCATGATGAAACACAATCACCAAGTGCCTCTAGATGCAATCACTCAAGCAATGCACTTGGATCACTCCCAATCTCACTATGATGATGAATCAATGATCTAGATGAGTGGGAGGGCTTTGGCTAAGCTCACAAGTATGCTATGACATGGCCAGATGTAAGCTTGAGCGGCCATGGGGCTATAAATAGAGCCCCAATCAAATGAGCCGTTATACCCCTTCACTGGGCAAAACGCTCGACCGGGACGCTCGGTCGAGAACCGTCGACGGCCGTCCGGTCCGCGTCGTCACGGAAAATGCTGTTAATTGAGATTTCAATGCGGTCGAAGACTCGCTCGAATCGACCGGCCGACGCCTCAAGCCCATTCGTCCGGTCGTTTCCAAGAAGCTCTCCCGAGGCATTTCGACCGGACGTCCCGTCCACCTTGAACCGGACGCAACCCAGGTCCGGTGCTCAACCCTATCCATCAGGTTGCCGTCGGCAGCTCGGCCGGACGCAGCCTTTCAGCGTCCGGTCATTGGTGACTTCCAAATGTCCGGTCGATGAGACCGACGCTTGAGATCATTTCGATCAACTTCATTTCAACTCTAACTTCTTCACCCTTGCTCCAGTGTGCCAACCACCAAGAATTTTGCATCGCGATTGAAAAAAATAGACATTTCATTTTTCCAAAGCGCCAATCCCGCCTCATAAGCTCGGCGCCCAAACCCATCTCAACCCTGCAAACACCTTGTGCACATGTGTTAGGTATTTTCACAAATATTATCAAGGGTGTTAGCACTCCACTAGATCCTAAATGCATATGCAATGAGTTAGAGCATCAACCTCTTTGCAAGGATAATGTGATCACACCTAGATCAAATTCCTATGGATTATACCTTTGCCTTGAACCTATATTTTTCTCTCTTCTCTTGTTGAAAATGCTTCAAATGGATGGTGACACTATACTTGTGAACTAGGTTAGCACTTAGGGTTTCATCAATTCACCAAAAACCAAACTAGAGCTTTCAACTCAAATACCAAGACTTTGTGCGTGGACGCGAGTCTCAAGAAGAAACGTAAGAAAAAGAAATAACCCGTTGTGGTCTTGTTCATAGTGTAAACCTCTTTGCAAGGATAATGGACGACCTAGACAAATTTGTTTGTGACCTATATTCCGTCTCATTCATTCAAGTAAACGCTTTTGACTCGGATGAGCTCAAGAAGAAGAAGTAAGACGCTAAATCATTCATTCAAGTAAACACGGCTCCTAAATTGCTGCCTAAGCTTACACGTCTAATTATTTGCTGAAGGAAGACTAGCAATGGCATCAACTAACAACGACGCCTCACAAGAAATTTGCAATGGCAGCCGGCCTTTCTTTCTCTAGTGTTTCTTTTTTCATGTGAGGAATCTTAAACTTGTTACATCCTCTAATCTTCATAGTTTCCTTCAAAATACTCTGAAGTGTTAAATAAATCATGTTTGCTTTGTATGGACAATGCTCTTGGAATGCCTACATGTGTTGAAAAAAAAATCAAAAAATGAATAAATCTATTGTTGAAGAAACAATGAAATTAAACAAGTGAACAAGTGATCAATTTACCTCTTGCACTGCTGGAATTAGTCCTTCCACAGTTTTTGCTTGCTTCTTGTATTGAATAGATTGAATAGCTCGAAAAAACCCCAAGCCCAAAATGTTGAAATCCGGAGAATTAGGTGGTTGACAAATTAGGCGAATGTCAAATCCTTCTTGCTTAGCAGCCTCACAAAAAACGGATCATTCACTTCTAAATGTGAAGGTGCATTATCCTACTGTATGTAAATTGGTTGGTTCACATCTTCACATGGCCATTTGGCTCGAATGGCAGGCAACACTTTGTGTACCATGAAGTCTCTAATCACATCTCTTGTGATTGAAGTTATGGGCTTGACAACTTGGGTACCAGCTAGACGATTCCTACGGTCTCTTTTAGCATTTTCATAAGTAACAAGTGGAAAACAATCAATTTTCCCATAAAAATGCACACTCCATTCCTAAACCTTGGCCGAGCACAAACACACAAAAATATGAGTCTAGAAATGTAATTCTTGCTCTTACAAGTGCGATGGGATCATCTTCCTCGGGTAGCAAGTAGTACTTCTCTGATTTTTGAGTGAGGAAAAACCATTTTTCATCGATGAACACATGGTTAAAAAATCCCTTAAATTTTGGTTCATCATGCAAGCTACCCTGATCAATCATGTCAACACACCACTGTAACCGAGACTTCTTGTTAGCATCTGTCAGGTGTGGCTTGATGCTATTTGAGTGACGCCTAAAAAGACCTTTTTTCAAGTATCTTTGTAGCTTCCATTTGCTAATGTTTAGTTTCGTAATGACATCTTCTATAGTCATTCTTTCTTTGAGAGGAATGTTGTGCAATGGTTCTAAATCAACAGGGATTGCCTTGCGGCCTACTCTACCCTTGTTTTGACTAGCAACATTAACCGGAATGGATTGAGCAAGGGGGATTTTACCTCGCTGCCATAAGCGCTGAACAACTCGAATGTGAAGTCCAAATTGTTCAGCAACAACTCTCGTAACACACTTGCCTAGTTTCACATTCTTGCTTCTAGCCAACAAAGCTTGATACACTTGTTTTCTGAGTTCTTCTGTCATGTCTTTGGCCTTCCTTCGTCCATTGGCTTCAACGGGAGGCTCATTAGCATCTTCTAGTTGCAAAAAAAAAAAGCAAATTCAAACCAACGATTTTGATTACCAACATCGAGTCATATCAAAAGAAATTTATCTTACCAGCGAGGTTTTCTTCAAAATCGAAATTAATCGCACCATATTCGTCTAGTGGCAGGTTCAAATCAAATCCTATCGACAAGAAAACGATGATATGAGATATGACTAAATATAAAAAAAACTAATAAGAGACGTAATACCGTTGCCATGTTCTAGCGGAGACTCGTTGAGATCGAACCCAGCATCACCGTTGCCATGTTCCAATGGACGCACGTTGAGATCAATCCCAGCAAATAAATCGGCCATGTGGAAAAGTTTGTTGCACGGTAGATGAACAAGAGAAGTGGTGGCTTAGTGAGTTAGTGTTGTGGCACTTAAATAGAAGAAGCTAGCAACCCAAACGTCGGAGGCCAACACGAGCAAACGGCAAAATACGCGTCCAAACGTGAGCAACCGCAAAAATACGCGCCCAAATGGCAAAAATACGCGCCCAAACGTGAGCAACCGGCAAAACACGCGCGAAACGGAAAAAAAAAAGCACCCATACAGCCGCACAGTGCCATACAACTCGCCACAGTGCCGTGCAAATCCACGAGCTCTTAAAAAAATAACGCGCCTGAGAGAGATCAAACCGGTGACCTCCTGCCTCGGGCTGTAGTGCACTTACCAGTATAGCTACAAAAATTTGTTGGATAGGTAATATCCGCAACCCTATTTAATAAGAAAAAACAGAAAAAAATATCCCTTAATTAATCACTCTTTAGTACGCTAAATCATATCTAAACAACTTTCTTTACCGGTAGAAAGCAACTTTCTTTACCGGTAGAAAGCATGTACCTCCGTCCACCTTAAATACTGCTCGCCGAACGATTCGCATCAGCTGACTCGGGAGTTTAGGAGCTTTATCTACGGACATCTCCGCCCGCGGTAACGCGTGCTGATTTCCCATCTTTTGTTTCGCTTCGGCGCTTGGCATTCGAGCGTGAAGGGAAATGGTTGGATGAACCCGTGGCGTCTGCAACTCTGCACGCAGCGAATCCCAGTGCCAGGTGACGAAATCCTCCGTAATCTGTTCGTCACTGCCGCGCCGGAACAGCAGTCTCCACTCTCCGGCCAGTCTCCGCGTGCTCAAAGGCGCGTCCTTGTCTAATAATGCCGGACGAGACGGGGCGGTCTGCCGCGTCTGTGCGTGGCTGATCATCCCTCACGCGGGTACGTGAGGGCCGAGGTGTGAATTGTGATGATGATGATGCGGTGCCCTGGGCCCTGCATTGCCACTGCAGTCTGCTTTCTGCCGGCGGCTCGGCAGAACTGGAACGAAGCAGCAGCGGGCATCAAGTCGCGGCGCCGCGCCGGCGTCCACCGACCGACCACCGATGGTCCGGATAAGAACTACTAGCGCTGGCGCTGCCAACAAGTAGTCCAGGCAACACATTCGCGGTGGATAGTATACTGGATAGGCTCGCGGGATTTCACGTGCGGATCGAAGGAGCAGGGACGCACCTATGGGGCACGGGCTCGCGTGCTTTCACTGTGAATCTGTGATCTTTCAGTACTCGGCAATCCTCTTTGTTTAGTCTTTCTTTATAAGCCTTGCTGGATATGTGAACGAGAGGACTGTCCTGGATTCCCAAATCGTAAACTTGCATGAGAAGAAATTGCCGTGCTCATCACATGGTAGTCACGCAAGTACGTAGTGGTCCGCGCAGCGGATTACACAAGATCATCGTTAGACGTACGGTTTTTCTCATTATTTCGTCGTGTTGTTTTCAGGATGGCATTTTTTATTAAATTAAACACAGTTTCTTAATAATTACACAGTTTCTTAATAATTACAGGAACAAGGGCATGAACGTCTATGGATTAATTAATGGCTAAGTGCAAAATAAACTTGAGGATTGACTTATATTATTATTAGACAACCTATACCGTGTTTTTTTAATTTTCTCATAGCGTGACTAATATTTCCTTAATTTATGCATAGACCAAGAAAAAGTGATATTGTGATTTGCATGGCAAAAGCAACTTATACAATGATACATAAATTATCTCATACAAAATCCTATTTCAGCATACTCCCTCCGTCTCAAGAAGAAGGACGTTATGGGATACGTGTAGGTCAATTTTTTTTTCAACTTTGACTAAGTTTAAAGAAAATACGTGCAACATTTATATCTCCAAATAAGTTTATTATGAAAGTATTCAACGATGTATCTAATGATACTAATTATGTATTATAAATATTAATATTCTTTTATATATAATTGGTCAAAGTTAAAAAAATATTAACTTCTCGAGAAACGAGAATGACTTCTATTTTGGGACAGAGAAAGTATGCCATTGTTTCACGAAATAACAGGCCCTCTGTCACCTTCAGCTTCCTCGTTCATATCATCAAAACTCCTGTGTGGCTCTTGTAGAACTATCTATCAGACCGTTTGACACAAAGTAGTGTACTTTGTTCATTAGGGGGCACTATATTTGCAATAAACAAGTATATTGATGTTGTTTTTATAGTGGTCTTATATGATGCTACGTAATCTTGTGTCGACTTATTATTAGACAACATGTACAATGAGTTATCTTTAGTTATCTCATAGTAACTCTTGAATTTTTTTTAATTTGTGCACAAAAAAAAACGAATGTTGTGAGCTGCATGACAACAGCTACTGATGCCAACCTTGGACCTCCGTTCGAGCTCAACGCTGTTGGACTCCACTGAATTTAATTAATGTGAAGCTCAAGTATAAAGGAAATTAGGCTTACTCAGCTATATAACCCACTAAGCCATCCAGGCTCCTGGGTTCGCTACTGACTGGTAGACAATCTATCCCATAGTTCTAGCATATGAGAGCAGTGGCGAAGCCAGGCTAGAAGACCACCGAGGTCTCGGCTGAAGCAAGGTGGGGTCATTAGGAGCAAATAGCAATCATGTACGGTAATTCTCTCTTTTTTTCAATGACAAACCTTAGCTTCGCCCCTGCTTGAGAGACAAAAGAAATAATTTTTCGCTTTTTAACATTATTAGGTATATATTACAAATAATTAAAGATATATATATAGGGTATAACAGGATGCACACAACCTAGACACTCACACTACACGCCGCACAAGCGTGTGCTTTCTTTCTTTCTTTTTTACGAGTAAAGAGAGAACTTTATTAACTAGACATGCAAGTCATTACAATTAGCATTGAGGGGGCTCGAGGCACATCAGGTGCGCTCCCAGCCAAGCCTTAAAAAAGTCTGCTATGTCTAGCTAAACCAGCTAAAGCATTTGCTACTTACCATCTCTATTCACCTTGGAAATCTTCCAACTATTCAGCAAAAGCGCGAGCCCCTTTGCCTCGTTGATGATTGTACTGAGCTCTGATCTGTCTTCGGCAACATTACCCATCTTCGCGACAATTTGCGCGCAATCGGATTCCACGATCGCCTGTGGGACTCCCCATTGGACAGCCCACCGCAGGCCTTCCACACATGCCAACGCCTGTGGGCACTGTCCTCAGTCTGAGGCTCAGAATCCTCGCCTGTGGGCACTGAACAACCGCGTGATGGCTCGTTTCATTCTCTAGGCTCTAGCAGCCAATCTTTCTGAAAAAAAAAATCAAGAAAAATGTGCAACACCAGGTGGGGTTGAACCTGGTGAATAGCATCCCATTAGACAGCTCTATTACCGGACCAAAGGCATTTAAAAAAAAAATGGACTCGATGAATATTTTTTTTAGCAACTGACTCGATGAATAGTTTTTTTTTTTTTGGAGCAAACTCGAGATCAACCTGGGCCAACAGCCCAACACGGACCACTTAACGGGCTGTTCGCCAACACAGACCATTCAGCCCACAATTCACCTTACATCGATCCATCGTCGATGGACGCCAACTCTCGTCATTCGTCATCCCGTGGTCGTGCACAGGCGTAGGCGCGCAGCCCAGTCCGAGCGCTGGAGGTTGTTGTGGTTGTGACCGGTGAGAGGTGGGACACGACGACGGTGACGGTGAGGCGGCGAGCGGCGGATCCTGGCTCCGATCCACAAGGGACGGCTCCGCACCTCGCGATTCTGCCTCTGCCCAGCAGCCATGCCGGTGAGGCGGCGACAGCCGCGGCGGCCGGAGACGGGTGCGGCGGAGAGGTACAGGGAGATGGGGATCGGGGCTGCGCTGTCGCGGCCCTGGGACTATCCCACGGCCTGCGGCGAGCTTGCAGCGCTCCTGCGCCTCGGATACACGGACCTCCCTAAGGCCGCCCAGGCGCTCGTTGCCTCCGACGTGCTGCTAGCGTTTCGCCTCCTTCCCGAGTAAGCCTCCCCTTCCCTCCCAATCATGCATGCATCCCTGCTGTGCGGGACTGCTGAATTTGTTGGGTTACAGCCCGTCGATGACAGTTTGCTGCTCGGAAAATTTAGCCGCCAGCCCCGTGGATATTTGTTGACGATGATTGATCTTTTTACTTGCGTGCGCTTGTCTTAGTTGCTTATTGCTAGCCTGTTCTATCCGCAGTGCCCATGTAATATTTTTCTTAGAGCAACAGAGATTGTAGGTACGCAGATCCATATCCGTTCTTCAGGCTGACACAGCATTCATATAGCTCTCTCATCAATGTTGCCGATGGTTTGAGCATACATTGTACTAGGTTGTCTGTTCTTAGGTTAAGCACTTTTTATGCCGGCATTAGGGTAGCTCTGCTGTTGAAACATTGCTCGAAATGCTTCTGCCAATAACGGGTGTAAGGTGTCACTTTGACAGGCATTGTTCTGGGATGATTAATTGATCACCAATGATATGTAAAAAAACAAAGGTAATATTGATGACTAATAATACATTGTAGTGGAACATTGGTGTTATATTCCCTCATCTGCAAAACCGAACTTCACATCAGATTGCTGATATATGGATGTGCTTGATCTGTTCTAATACGAAAAGAATCAAAACCAATATCCAGCCCATTATAAGTGTAAAGAAGGCTCCATCATAGACAAGCTTATAAATATACATAGGATGAGATTACCATATCAGTTTACGCCTTTACGGTTTACAAAACAATTGCCGTAGCTTGTGCACAAGTTCTCTCTCTTCTTCTTATTTCTTTAAAGAAAAAAAAAGCAGGAGCACTGCTATTACATATATATAAGGATGCAAGCAGGTTTAACAAAGTCTTGACTACAGGATAACTGAAAGAACTTGAAAAGATACAACAAAGCATTAAGCTACTGCGTTCTCAACAAGCCTGCCTGCACAGGTCAACCTCCTTGATAAGCTGCAGCACCTGCACTGGTTGTTGAAATCTGCCATCAGAGATTGCGATTTCTTTCCTTCCATATTCCAAGTGGTATAGATCATCAGTGCTGCCTTTCTTCTTTGCTGCTGTCTGGGCAGGTTGCTGAGAGAGGCATGCCACCCCTCTCCTACTGAAGCATTGCCAGCAGGTACCTGGACTGTAATCTCTTTCCAATTTCTGACAAGGAACCAGGGCATCCACAATGTAGTGAAAAAGGTAACCTTAAGCCATAAATGCAGTGGTAGGAAAGCACTTTAGCTTAGTGAATGTGCATTGCAAACACAGATGTGTCGCCAATGCTCGCTCCTGATCACACAGCAAGCACTTAGATCACAAGTACATTCCTAGACGCAAGTTTGTCTGCTGATCTGAACCAAAAGCCAAGCAAAGAATTTTTGCTTGCCTTCAGCATGTGCCTTCCAAATTGAGTTTCCATCAAATCTGCTGAAGGAAACACTGCACTGAATGCTGTAAGCTGACTTCACACTATAAATTCCATCAGTTGTCCAACACCACACAATCTCCTCGGGCTGGTTGTAAAATCTCGCCTGCTGAACCCGCCCCACAGTTTGATGAATTCTACCAGCTCTTCTATTGTGGGCATTCTCCAAAGCCCTCTTGTCCTTGAAGTTCTCTAGATCCTCACGACCTGTTTTATTCTTTCTCCATGCTAGTTGCTAGTTTGTACATATTTAGTGCGACCATTGGCACCCAACCATCCACCCAAGAAGACTGCCAGAATCTGGCCCTGCGGCTATCTCCAGTTTTTACAAAGGTGCTTGATCTGAACAGCTGCCTTTCAACCGTGTCGCACGGTGGCACCGTGCCTACTCAAGGATGGTCTTGTTCTGCCCATTCATACTGGAGCCAGTGCAGCTGTAGTGCTCTACTGAACATGTTGAGGTCCAGGATCCTCAGACTTATTTGGACAACTCGCTTTTGGCCACTTTTTTAATAAATAGTGTCCGCCTATGGTGCGTACTCATACCCACTCCCCAAATCCACATCCACATCAAATGGGGGTATGAACAGAAAATTATTTCCCCATTGGAAATGGGTAATACCTACTAGTACCCAATGATGATCAAGTTGCACTCCAACTCCAAGCACTTCTCCCCTATTAGCTTGATCATTATCCATTGGGCTCGGGCAAATGGATATGGATGATATTGGGGATGGTGATGAATGGACAATGATGATCTGGGTTTGGGTGTGGGCAAGCATGGGTGTGTTCAAACCCTCCCCAGTGACAGGTATATGTCCGCCATTAGCTTCCGTGGGTCCTTTCCACATAAAACTCCTGATCTTGTCAATCTTCCTCAATACCCACATTTTGAGAGCAAACACCAGTAGGCCACTGAGGTGAGCATTGAGTTCAAAGAGTTAATCGCCCTGCACGATTCAGGAGACGCCCTTTCTAGGCAGGTAGGTTGGCAGCTACCTTATCAATGAGCATCTGAATGTCAACTCTCCAGAGCTTCCTGATACGCAATGGCAAACCGAGATGTTTGCAGGGAAAAGCATTGATTGAACAGGGAAAAGATTCCATGATTTCCTCCAGATCAAGTCCATCACAACCCATAGGGTAAATAGGGTAAATCACACACTTTTTTTGTGGATCGGTTCTCATCCCCGATGCCTGGTCAAAAGCCTCAAGTAGCTAATGGAGAACCTGTACCTCCTCTTCGACAGGATGAACGAAAATGGCTGCATCATTTGCATAAATACTTGCATGAATCTTTATTGCCCTATTATGCAGATGAGATAGCAGGCCTTCCTCAGTAGGTCTGATCAGCAAGTGATGTAGATGTTTTGTAGGTGAGAATGGACAGCATGGATGACCATGGGTCACCCTGGCAAAAGCTTAGTGCAGAAGTTCTCTAGGTCATTTCCTCGCGCTTTAATAGTATCCCCTTGTGTTAATGTGTCTTGTTTATGGCAATGCTTTGCTCTGCTTTTGATGCCTCTGACGTTACACTGATTTTGTGCTTCATGTTTGCTGGAAAATCTGGAGATATCTGTTCTTCTAAAGCTCATTTTCTCATGTTGTGATTTGCAGTTAGTTTTCAAATGGTTATAATCTTATATGGTGTCTTGTTTCATGTTAGACTACACTATTCACTTAACTTCATTCCTCAATGGTATTGCTACAGAATACTTTGTATTAACTGGTTCTTTTCCCACAGTGTGCAAACAGGATATGCAGTAAGCACAGCTAATGTTCTTCTTCAAGCGGTAGAAGTTGCCCTACCAAAGCAAAAGAAGGCGCAGGCTGTTTCAGAGTTCAAGCACTCAATTATTGCACATAAAAGGCATGCACGAGTCCAACAAAATTCAGGTACGTGATAGGTTCCTTTTCCATGGTGTAACTGCATCAATGTAACCCTGTTTAGTGTGAACTTGATATCTTGAGCCTATTTAGTTCTTGAACATATTTGGTGACTGGGAAATTACTGCACCAGCTGTATCTTCTATTCTGTGCTGCAGTACCATAGATGTACACACGGGCCATTTTGTTAATTTATTCTTCCAAGTTCACTCTAGCCTGGGTTTCAAAAGTTCACGTGCCTGAACCTTGATTGCTTCTGTTGGGTTTCAACTCTAGCCTACCCCTAACTTGTTTGGGACTTAAAGGCTTTGTTGTTGTTGTTGTTGTTGTTGTTGTTGATTCTTCCAAGTTCACTGGTAGAGGCAATAAAAGGAGACTTGAAAGGATGGAATATACCCAAAGACTTAGCCTTAGATAGGAGTGCTTGGAAAACAGCTATTCGTGCCTGAACCTTGATTGCTTCTGCTGTGTTTCAACTCTAGCCTACCCCAACTTGTTTGGGACTTAAAGGCTTTGTTGTTGTTGTTGTTGTTGTTGTTGTTGTTGTATTCTTCCAAGTTCACTGAGCTGATTTCAGAAAATTTCTGCTTAATGGTCTGTTAGGATGGTAAACATGACAAAATCATAAAGTTTGGCTTTAAGTAAAAGCGTATACATGTTACCATGCTATCTCCTATAGACATATGTATCTTCAGACGTCCTGGTGTTCTTGATTCATTTTACCAAAAGGATCAGAGCTTGAAAATTTCAAAGTAACTAACTAGTTGGCTTAAGATGCAGCCTCCTTTGAAGACTTAGGAGGATTAGTGATGTCTGATGTGTTATTTTCAAACCCTTTGACAGGTTCACCAGACATACCACAAGATATACTTGTTCACATCTTCAGTTTCCTGGACATGCATTCTTTGGTAGCAGCAGGTCTTGTCTGCTGGTATTTTTCGTTTCTTCCCTCTAACGGCTTTCAAAATAATATGTTGCTTTCTTGTTGATCACACCTTTTGTCTTCCTTAGAAGGTCTTGGAATTCAGCGGCAAATGACAACAAACTGTGGAAGATGAATTACTCGATTTTCTTTGGCCTCAGCCATTTGAGTTGCAACAACATTCCTGTATCTGGTGTGCAATACAGCATGAATTCAGTGTCAGATTATCCAACCTTTAGCTGGAAGGAGTTCTTCCACAGCAAGTATGAAGGTAGGGTTGGCATTCCTCCTTTTGTATATAATTCGATCCAATTAAAATGCACTATAGTTATCCTCTAAAAAAAGGGTGTAATATTTTACTGCAGAATGTGCGTCATGGAAATTCACATCAAATAGAGCACTATGTGCGCATTGCAGATCAGTTATTTGGCTGAGCAACCTCACATGTGCTTCTCCACACCATTGCCCTAAGAATAGACAAGATGAAGTAAAATTACGACCTCTGTTACCTGATACAGTAAGTTGTTTAACCCTATGGTATTTTTTTAAGAACTATGGTAATCATTTTTTTTTGAAAGAACTATGGTAATAGTCTTGCACATCGTAGCTTTTATCTAATTTGCAGATTTTTTTATACAACACCGTTAACTATATAGTCTGTCTGATCAGCTATACAAATTTGTCCGTGTAATAATCATAATCTGTTTTGCCTTTTCACCGGTATGTATGCACTGAACCTTCTGCTTAACCCTATCCTGGACCAGATTGCTAAATACATATTGCACGTTGAAGATCTAGCAGCTTCATCATCTGAAAGTGATGACACAGATGGCTCCGATTATGAGAATTGGCACCCAAGATTTTGGGCGTTATAGGACAATAATATTCGGATTTTTGGATTGTGACAGTTTATGTCCTCAATTTTCTGGTGATTTGCTGTATTTAGTGTGTCCCCTGTTGTATGTAGCAACTGCAAACATCATATGAGATGGCTCGTCAAAGTGAAAATGAAACACATTGTATTGCAAATTGTAGTCTTAGTACAACTATATTTTTGTAGCAGCAAAAGAAGGGTTGCAAAAAAAAAATGTATACATAGTAGCACCTGCACACTTGATAGAAGAAGCAACTATCAGCCTGTTCGGGAGGCCGTATCGTATCGTGGATTATTTACTGCTGGCTGGTTTGATGTGAGAGAAAAACACTGTTCCCGGCTGGAAATTTACGATCGTTTACGAGCAAGCGAACAGGCTGTATGCTAAGAGCCAGTTTGGCAGAACTTCTGCTTTAGATTCTCTGAGAAGTAATTCTCTGATTAAAGTTGATTCTCTATTATTCTCTAGGATACACTATAGTGATTTTGTGCATGAAGTGAATCAGAAGAAGCTATTTTTTTCAGCTCTTCCAGCTTTCTAGTTTATTTTAGAGAATCACTTTGCTAAAAATCAGCGAAGAATCACTCCTTATTTAAAAGCTCTTCCAGCCTTCTAGTTTATTCAGAGTATCATTGTGCTAAAACTAAGCGAAAAATCACTCATTTCAAAAATTGTTTGGCAAAACTTTTCTCCTGAATTCAGCCTGGAAGCTGCTTGAGAGCTCGCCAAACTGGCCCTAAAAGTGATTGAGCCAAAAACAACCAGAAGGCATCAACGGAAGCATCAATCAAATATATCAATAACCACCAAGAACAATTCATCGAAGCCTAGGTCCGGTTATGAAATAGCACTGGATATATATTACAGACTACGAGGAAACCACCACTTCCAAGGAGGGTAATGTCAAACATGGAATTCAGAACACAATTCTGCGTAACCTTAGATAATTTAGCACATTGCTACTGACCACACTAATACACTAGAACACGTCCAGGTATTTACAATCACATGGAGACATGGAATCACATCCATCCTTCAAAACCGACACGTAATGATCAAAAGAGATGATAAATCACCTCAGACCCTTATCTGATTCTACTCTTCTAATGTTGCTTCTTGTCTTTTAACGGGCCCTTCGGAATCTTTGATAGGCATTTCTCATCGAAGATGGCGTAGTACTTCTTCAGCTCGACCATGGCCTTCTCACCAAAAGCATCAACCTTATCCTCATGCTTCTCATACAGGACCGGCACAGTGTACAATACCATAAAAACTGCATAAAAGAAAACCATAATTGGATACCGCTTCTTAACACATCAAAGAACGTTAACAACGAACAACAATTACCTATGTAAGACAAGGTGAGGAAATTGCAGCAGCTCCCAAGAACAGAAAGGATCCACAGTCCTGCAATCACCTGACAATAGAGATAAGCACATTAGATACATTCAGAAAAAATTGCCTTAAGTAACATAAGTCTATACAGAACAAAATCTTTTTTTTGGGGGGGAACATATACAGAACAAAATCCTGCAAGTCAACATACAATCAGAAATTTCTTCAGGTCATGGCCTTGGCCGATCTCCCTCAAGGAAGCAAGACCCCTGTTGATCTCATATCTCAGGGAACGTGCAACATTCACAGCCAGGTCCTCTGGGATCTTCACCTCGGGGATGTTAGGAGGAGACCTAAATAGCCATGGCAAATATGTCACAATCAAAGAGACTAATCAACTGGTCACTAGGTGATTGGTGATATATGCTCTTAATAAAATATAAAGTTAAAATAAATAGTGGCCGCAGCCATGAAGAACAATCATGCTGATGCTGCATAAACATGTAAGCTGGGTTAAACTAGCATTATCAGAATAAGTAAAACCTTATTACAGCAAAGAACAGCAGAAGTTTTAAGGGATCCCACTAACTCACTTGTTGATGAAAGTCGTGGCATTGGACCAGAGGAACAGGATGGCCAGGGTGAGGATGAGGCAGTGGCATAGCAGGGTGAGGAGGTGGTAATCCATGACCTCAAACAGCAGCCAGATGGCAGTTGCGCCTGCCAGCACCCCACCAGAGATCCTCTTGTTCCTCCATAGAAACAGATCCGCCGCTGTAAGCATGATCACAAGCACATCAGAACAAAGCTCCAAATAAATAAACAATTGGAACAATGCTCACTAGCAAACAAACAAAGAATCTCTGGGTTTCAGGGTAACGCATGCTACAAATTACCTCACAAGCACATCAGAACAAAGTCCCAAATAAACAATTGGGAACAATGTTCACTAGCAAACAAACAGAGAATCAGGGTTTAAAGGTACATCATCGTACAAATTACCCAGCGAGTTACTGTTTCGCTTATAGAAAGCTACTGTTACTCGCTTATAGAATCACCCGACCGAAGCCAGTGTTACTAGCTTATAGAGCCACCCGATCACTTGCTCCTGGCGTAGAGGCAAATCTTACAGCGACAGACAGTAATCTGATCACGTCATACTCGCATCGTGGAAACAATGCCGCAGAAAGTTAACCCAGACCACATCGGATCGGAAGTCGAGCGGTTTTCCACACGCTCAAGATCTCTCCCCCAGGAATTTGCATTTGTCCACAAAGGAACAAATGCGGTGCGGCTACATATTAACAGTTCACCAACGCTAGACAAGTGAAGCAGACCCCAACGCGGTTGGATCTATATATATAAACCAAACAAGACAAAGCCCCACTAGTGGAGATCGGAGGAGAAGAGCCTTGAGGTCCGGGCTTACGCTTGCCGCCGCCGAGGATGGAGTGGACGGACTTCTCGCGGCCGAACAGGCGGTAGATCTTGGCCTTCACGGCGGCCGTCGCCGACGAGCGCTCGTCGTCCGAGTCCGACGACGACGACGAGCCGCCCCCGTGGCCGTGGAGCTTGTCCGAGATCTTGTCCAGCACTGACGCGCCCGACTCCTCCCTGTGCTGCTCCGCCATGGCTGCCACCGCTCGCTCGCTCGCTCTCTCCCCACCCCTCTCCCTCCTTGCTCCGCACGCGGCTGCCGTACTACAAGCAACACGACCAGCAACAAGCTTTTCGCTTTTCTCTCTTCTTCTCTCCCCGACGGGTTCGGGCCGCGCGCTTTATGCGCGGCGCGGCGCGATCCCAGCCGTCGGTCCGGTCGCGCCGGGCCGTGTGATCCGTCCGTCCTGCCTGCGTTAATCTAGCCTTATTTAATTCGCGCAGTTATGTGTCAGACGTAACGCTGCGTGCGTGGCCGGCCCCACGGGCCACGGGTGGTGTGCGGCCTGGGCCCGCGTGTAAGCTAGCGTAGGGTGGGTGGATCGGTGGTGGGAGAATCGCGCGTCGCTTCGTCACGTCCCGTCCGTGGGGCCCGCGGAGGTGGAGATCGCGAGGAGGACACGAGGCCTGGCGACGCGTGTCGTGCCAGGGCTTTCGCCGGCATCCGGGTCCGGCCCGCAAGCGGAGAAGCTTCTGGCCGTCGAAGCATCTTCTTGCGGGCCAAGTCCATCTTCTAGGGCGTCAATGGTACTAGCTAATCCCTCTAAAATAGAAATTATTCTGAGAAGTCGACTTCTATTAACTTTGACTAATTATATATAAAAAATATTAATATTTATAGTATATAATTAATATCATTAAATAAATTGTCGAATATACTTTCATAATAAACTTATTTGAAGATATAAATGTTACACGTATTTTCTAGAAATCTAGTCAAAATTGAGAAAATTTGACCCGTACGTGTCCCATAACATCCTTCTTTTAGGGACGGAGAGAGTAAGTAGCTAGCTTACGTGCAGGTGAGAGACAAAAACAAAGACTATTTTATACATTTTTATTTTTCTATGTACTATTAGACCCACATATTTCTCTCATATTCTTAAATTCCATGAAATATATCAGTTATTTGCTCGTCGCTAGTAACTACCCTCTTCTGCTTTTTTACTATCCAGGTCAGAATAGCCAGCCAAATAGCTGGCTGTTGGAGACGCCCTTATCTAGCTTTTGGCTTTGTTCGGCTCGCTGAAAAACGGCCGATGCTGATTTGTTGTGAGAGAAAGATACTGTTATTTTGCTAAAACGGTACGGCTGATAAGTTCGAGCAAACATGACCTTTGTAGTTAAGCAAATGGAATTTTCGCTCTCTTGTCGGCTAAGGAAACGATAATTTCCTCCTGTTGACTACGTACGTTGCAAAACAAAGTCTGCATCACAGATTTTTGAACTTTTAAACGTCGGGAAAAAAAATACTAGCGCGGAAACACAACGATCGAAAAACTTGCAAAAAGAGGTAAATAAACGTCTAATGCTAATCTGTTTTCATCCGTAGCTCTGCTCTGAAATCGAGAGATCGGCTTTTTTGAACGAACAAAAGGTCATATCCATACAATACAGTGGTTTCATCAATTTCTAATTTAAATTTATTTTAAGATAGGAAATAAAAACGGTTTCTTGCTACAATGTACAAGTGGAGTTTCACCAAACGAGACCTAGATAAACCAAACTATTGTTGCAGCCATCTTTTAACTCTTGGATCTGAATAACATCTAACTAATCGGCAGCTACGTACGCGACGAAACTAGACTACAAAAAACTTTAACACTTCATGACTCAATATACTCACCACAATGTGCATTTACAAAGTTTTTTTTATCGGTTCTCTAAGATTAGGATGATAGGCGTGTATTCTTTTCCTCATGCCTTGATCAAATTGGATCTTCTCCTCCCAACCCACATCTTTTGAAGCTAAAAATAAAAATTGTAGTATTATCGGTGTCTTGTTGACCATCCATGTTGTCAGCATCACCTCGTGCTTTATTTTTAACTATCTATCCATAAACATATTCCTGAAAATCTTAATTAAATGTTCACGCGCTCATGTACAAGAATCAAGGGAAAAAAATAAATAACCAACTAATTAGACATCCATAAACATAAACCCACTTGACATGATTTTTGTATGTCGGTTCAATTTCTTCAATCCTTCACCGGCTCTCCTTTATCCC